GACCTAACTTGATCATTTAAACATCAATTGTTCGAACAAACTTGACAATAACAAAAAATAACACGGTGCGGCCATGACGCGCACACCATGTGCGGTCCTTGGCTTTAAGCCAAATTCTCGACCGAACTTCTACCTTACTCACCAATTCCCACCTGACTGAACATGATACACTAAATGATGGCTGAAGAAACAATAAACACTCGGGACTTGCTGGAATAAAATGGAAGTAACTCGGTCTTGGCCCAAAATGGCCTAAACCGAACTTAATGCGACATAACTAGGAATTTCTTACATATGGACGAATAATTCAGCCTTAAATGGACTAATTAACATGAAAAGAGATCCAAGATAACTCTACCTTCTTAAGTGCTCGATGGAATATACAAGCTGCTCGTGCACTCCGTTGATCCTTGCGTGCGCGTCCGTGCGGTGCTTTGCGGTATCGTGCGCGTGCGAGGACTAAGCTTGAGGAGTGGCTAAGGTGGTGTTCTTCCCTACTGGAGTTAGTAAATGTCTTGGGAGGAAATTATGGGGCTAAACGTGTGGAAAAATCCTCCCAAATGCTCTCTTATATACTTGGCCGTGAGGAGGAGTTGGTGACTTGGGGCCTTGGTGGCCAACCATGGTCATGCCACTTGGAACAAACTTAGATGATTTGAGGATGAATCATCCCTCACCAACCCTTCCTAATATGACACGTGGGGGCTCTTGAAAGAGAAGAAAACTACTTCTTAAGCTTTTAGAAACTCACGGCTTTTGGAACCAAATGAGGGAAAATAACCTAATTACTCACGGCTTTGGCTTGGTTAATTGTGATTAATTGCCAATTAATCACAATTAAATGCTTAGTTAATAATTAAACATAATACTTAATTACCAAAATTTATTCTGAACGTAAACGGTACGTCGAAAATAATTTTCGGTAATCTCGACTGAATATAATTAATTCCGGAAATAATAATCGATAACATTATTATATCGGAACTAAAACATAATTTATACTGATAAACTTGTTATCATCCAACTCGGCAAAACATCATTAAGAAATTTTAAGCATCATTGTTAAGTCACATTAACTATTGAACCGACGTGATCCAAAGCCGCGCTGGCCCACGCAATGAACCGGTCCAGACTACTAAAGACCGAAGTGGCCGATACCTATCGAGGTCTACTAAAACCGAGGTCCTACCTCCTAAGAACGAACCGAGGTCTCACCTCCTAAAGCAGGTGACAAGGCGTCTACACACCCATCACAACCCCCGAGATTTATCATCATTCACGTGGGACCCACTGCTACAAACCGCCCACCAAAAAGTTACTTTATATGAAAAATAATACACGAATCCCAAGGTGTGTATCGAAAAAGCTACTATAAATAGCGAGCCTATGACATTTGTACGGGGATCCCCGAACTCATTAATATGCAACACGTAACAGCCCATAACGGCTCTTCACCTCGGTTCACCTCGGACCGGGGCCATTGTTGAGTTTATTTTTACATGCTTTACGTCCAAACCGTTCGTAATTATTAACTTAATCACTTGTTACATCGTTGTTACAAATCGCATAACAACAGTTTGGCGCTAGAAGGAGGGCCTCATAAGTGAT